AGTCGTAGTAGTAGTAGTAGTAGTAGTAGGAGTAGTAGTAGTAGTAGTAGTAGTAGTAGTAGTAGAGAAGTAGTAGTAGTAGTAGTAGTAGTAGTAGTAGTAGTAGTACTAGCAGTAGTAGTAGTCGTCGTCGTAGTAGTTGTAGTCATAGTTGTAGTTGTAGTTGTTGTGGTTGTGATTGTAGTGGTGGTGCTGGTGGTTGTTGTTAATGTTGTCGCCGTCATCGTCTTCGTTGTCGGCGTGGTTGTTGTCGCTGTGGCAACCAGCGTTTATACGTCGTTTTGCATTGTAGTTATAGTGGCGGAAGTTCCGGCGGAAGCGGCAAGGATCAGTAAACTCGGGGCATGGACAGAGCATCTAGCGATGCTTGTTCAACGCTGCTCAAACTGTAGCGACCACAGATACGGTCTTGACATAGTCAACGCACTGGCTCCCACAAGCAACCTAGCAGAGCATTCCAGCCAGTTCCATCGTTCTCCAGAAACGTTGCTGCCACAACTCAAGCTTGTGCCAGGATGTGCAGCAGCGTGTCAAACAATGCTTCCAGGAGAATGCCAGAATCCCACTGTGGCTCTCTTTCAGTTTCCATCAGGTTGACGTCCTAAGCGACACTGTGCAACATCATTTCAATATTTTCTGTCACTCGCACCGAAGGTGTCACTGCATCACATTGACACGTCATGCTTGTACATCTCTGAAGTCTGAAGATTAAAGCGAACTCGACCAGCAGTTCTCAGATTCGGTTCGACCCCCACCTTCGTTGTTTCAGTAGGCCCACTTGGCTGCTTCATGTAGCCTCGCCACAGGATCACTCAGGACACGCACGCGTACCATGCAAGGTTCTCATGGTCGCTGCATCATGATGTTTGCTTTGTCACGACTTACTTGATCCTTGCACAAGAGGATGCGACAGGATCGCCTTAAAGCTGCTGTAGTCAGAAGTAAACTTCGAGTCCAAGTCCGGACGTTTCCCAAACGAGGGCACGCACCGCTGTTGTCTTTCGGCCGAACACACGATGATGGGAGAAAGCATGTTATGTCAGGCAATGCTGAGGTATACCCATAGTTTGATGGTTGTCATCACTGCCGCAGCCTATTGCCATCGCTACTAGCTTGGTGTTGATATCATTTTTGTGCATCTGGTCTGTTTGATGTTTGTATGTCTGCAGCCCTTTTTTCGGCTCCATCAGTCAATGCAGATTTGGCTGGCCTCTACAGCTGAGGTTTGTTTGCTGTAGCTGCCTGGCAGAACCGCTAGTCGGGAGCAAGGGCTCAAGGAGTTCGGCTTGGGGCGTTAGGGCTTAATTGTGGGCTGATGTCAGGAGTTGCCTGGACACATGCCACATCGAAGTTGGTACAATCGTTTGATGCAGGGAAAGCACGTCTTTCTTCACTTTGGAACCCCAAACCAGAGCCTCAATTATCGGCTTTCGAATCTCACACCAAAGCACAGAAACGCCACTATGCCAGTCCAATTATTTCCGAAGTTGTTTGAACTCTTTTTTCCGCCAAAGGTATAAGTAAAGGGAGAGTCATAAGGTTTTGCATCATGCAATCCTTACCGATCAGACTGCTAGTGTTGCTACGGCAAGAGCAAATGTCAGAAAAGCAGTAGTTTTACGCACCAGTAGCAACCAGGGCAAGAGAAGCTACTACCCCTGCTGGGGATCCTGCTCCTCCTCCTCCACTCCTACCACTCCTCCTGCTCCTACTCCCCCTGCTGCTGCTACTACTACTTCTACTACCACTGCTACTACTGCTGCTACTCCTACTACTGCTGCCACTCCGGCTGCTACTACTGATAATGATCGTCATCATCATCATCATGCTCCTGCTGCTGACAAAGAAGCTCTACCAGAAGTCATTATGGTAATAGCCGTCACCACAGCACAAATAGCATGCTTAAGTGATGCTCAGAGTAGTACTAGCATGTTTAATGCGATGAACTTACGAAAGCAGCAGTACCTATGTCACTGCATCGTATTTCTTTCGCACAGTTTCTTTCGCACAGTCGCAAGATGCCAAGCGAGGTACCGCTCCAGCCCCCGACATCCTTGCCGCTCGCCCGGGAGGGATGGAAGCTTCTTCGGTCATAAGCACAATCAATGCTCACAGTTGGCACCCCCCTCCCAGGGTGCACACGGCTGCATACGCTTGCAAACACCATCTGTACTGCAGTGCACGTCAGTCAACATGTCGTGTCATACATGCATCTCATCAGCATCACTGAAATTTGGTTGTCACAGACACATATCTGAGATGCTGTTTTTTTTGGCATGTTGAGCAGTGTACCTCACAGGGTCGGGCGTTCGAGCATTCGCATGCGAAAAGTGTCGCTGGAAGCTGGAGGGGGCGATCCAACATGAGCCGAGGTAGCTATGATCTCTCGATCAGCGTTGATCCTTTCCTTGCTGGCCACAGCTTTCGCCACGAAGCTGACTGCGGAGTCCGGTGCCCTCCAACAGGACTATTGCTGTCCTCGCTCGGGGCCTTGTTGAGGCCAAATCTTTATGGCTTCGACAATCGTACGTCTCTCGAACTTGAGATCTCCACTGCGGGATGGGGTGTTGGGCATGGATTGCGGCACTTCAAAGCCAAACTGGTGGAAAGCCAAGTGTGCAAACGGAGCTCAGGTTCAGCGCTAGGCCAAGATTCCAAAGCCACTTTGGCTCAGTTCGTGGAAGACGTCTGTCAGGAATATCCCGGCAGTTTCCTGAGGTGGTCGGTTGCTTCCGTGTCGTTCTACCTCGGGGCCTTCACCTTCAGCCCGGATCCGAAGAAATCCTGAACCGTCCCTATCCTGAAACCTTAAGCCCTAACTAAGCCATAACCCACACAACACCCCGACCCCCCGACCTCTGACGGTGAGGACGGCATCCTCAAGCTTCTATCAGAAGCTTCGGCGACCAAGGATTCCAAATCCACTCAGGCCAAGCCCTGAGTGTAGATCACCGTCTGAACATCTTCCTCCTTTTTAGATATTTCTTCTTCCCCCTCTCTCTCTGTCGCTCTCTCTCTCTCTCTCTCTCTCTCTCTCGCTCTCTCTCTCTCTCTGACTCTTTCGATCGTTCTTGTTTTGTTTTGTTTGTTGTGCTTTCTTTCTCTTTTTCTCTCCTGCTCTCGTGTACATACGCATGCGTGGCTCCTCCTCCTCCTCCTCATGAATGTGGTCATCATCATGATCATCCTGACAATCCCATCATTGCCGTCATCACAATCATTTCTGCCGTTTTCTCCATCACCATCGCCAGCATCAGAATCAGTTGATCACCATCATCGTCACCATGAGTGTCGCCATCGCATCATCACCAGGATCGCCACCACCATCAAAGGCGGCAAAATGCATCATCCCTGTCCCAAGCATGTTCATCACCTTTATCGTCAACATCAACATGCGCAACATGTTCACCATCGTCGTCGTTGTCATCCTGGCAAATGTCATCGTCATTGTCAGCAGCCACCTGGTCACCATCGCGAATGCATTCATGGCCATGATGTTCGTGATTGGACTGTGATTCCGGGACACTGCAAGCAGTGTCAAGCTAGGTGCATTCTCGAAGAAGCATTGTCCAAGAAAGTGGGTATATTCAGGATTGTGGGTTATGCCAGCAGCTTGCAGAGAAATTCTGGAAGCTGCTCGCAGAGCTCTGCTCCATAAATCATAAATCCTAGTCCTAGACAACCATTACCAAGCAACAAGAACAGCGAAGCAAGTCAGTAACCGTTCCGGCAAACCAAGTGTGATCCGTGACGACAACCTGCCATGCTGCAATGCTGCCAAGTGTACAGCTGTCACGAAATTTACGGAGTGTGTCGGACTTCGCGCAGGTGAGGGCGAAAACTTCACAGATGGAAGAGCCTAGGCACAAGCTGCTTCCCCCACCCGCAGGCACAGTTTCCGGGCTACGCTCAGGTATCACGTTCTCGGGGGTTATGTCGGATAAAACTTAGCACCATCTTTGATGCATGATCTCGTGAATGAGTCCTGCAGGATGCATGGCTCGATGCTCGAGAACTCAACATCGAATCCACAAGCCCAGAAAGACGTGGAGAAGCCAGAATCTCAATCCTCGAATCTGGACCCTACCCCCCGGAATTCTCAATCCTAACTGGCCCTAAGTAGTTCCCCCAAGTAGCCCCTATAGAAGGAACCCTTTACAGGAGCCCTTATGAAACCCTATTCTAAGTACCTGAAGCCAAGGACATGGTGATGTTCCTTGCGCAGCAGGCCAAGGCCGCCAAACTCGCCTCCGCTCAGGACAGGGTCGCTGCCCACCTAAAACCCCCCAAAAAAGGATGTTGATGTGCCCTTAGAGTTGACCTTAGAGGGTTTAGGGTTTAGGGTTCCCCAAAAGGATGTTGTTGTGCCCTTAGAGGGGCCCTTATGATAGCACCCTGTAGTTGCGAACCAAAGTCAGCTCTGCAAATCACAACCAGCGTGATTTGGCATGCCTCGCTCTGGTTGTCGACCAGCTTTTCACTGTGATTCTGTGCTCGTGTCACCGACTTTATTTAGATGACCGTTGGTGCTTTCCAGTTGATCTGCCTGAGCAGTTTTTGTACGAGATATTGGCAATCAGATCAGCTTTGCAATCGTGAGTGTGCATTGAGAGTCTGCTTCCAACGAAGACGCTCTAAGTTTACGCCTTGACGTGGTTGCATGTTTCGTGGCATGTGCCGAAACATGCTACACAACCAAGCCCCAGTGGCTGCGCCTATCTCTGAGTCACTGCAGCACAGTTGATACGCAGGGCAGATTCCACTGGTGCAGGGTTTTCAGCGTCCCATCCGAAACATGGGCATAGCTCCGTGATGTATCAGTAAGACATGGCAACGTCGCTATCTAGCTACTACCAGGACCCCGTCGTCAAAGATGATAACGCGAACATTACCGACTTCGTTAAACAGCTGGATGACGAGTTGAAGAAGATGTTGCGACTGGGCGTATCAACAGTTTTGAGCAGTTGCTCAAAGTCGTTGCTGGATCCCTAAGTGGCTCTGGCACTGGGTGGGGTTATTTTACCAAGTTGATCTTGGGATTCCCAACTGTTTCCCGTAAATGTGTCCCTGTTTGCGCTTATGTCACCATGTTGGATTCTGAGCGACGGCTGGCCATACATCAAGGCAGCTTTCCCAGTACCCGCCTCACATGCAATTTTGCAGAGAGAAGCAGAGTGCCAGACTGTACGGCACTGTTCCGGAGGTGGTTCGATGTAGATTAGGGGGATGATGGGTTGTGAGCCATAGTCTTGTGCCTCTGACGCTAGTGTGATTATCATCAAAGTCCTCGTCTGTTTGACTTTTTGTCAGGCATTGATCTACTTTGTCTTTGTGTTTGATTGTCTGTTATGGTTTCTATATACTCTCATGATTCAGAGGGTGGACTTCCCAGTTCCATCCATAGCCTCGGGTCTCTTGAGCCTGTGATTCAGTTCGCCGCAGATCCTTCAACTTTGCATGGACAGGTGTAAATCTCGGTCCCTGATCCTGTTGACTTAGAGCCGGAAGTCCTGACCTGTTCTTAGAAAAGCAGGCAGTGAAGGACGCCACAGCATATCCCAGAATGCGACCGAAAAGCAGCGCACACCCCAAACCATGATACCAAGGGAGAACGTGTTCAAAGCGGCGGCGACATCCAATTCCGCTTGCCAAGCGGTCCGATCCATAGTTGCTTGTGTTGGAGTATAGCAAAGGAGTTGACGTTGGGCTGCATGATGAGTTTGGAGATGTTGTCAACATGTCTTGGAAGGGATTCGAAATAACCTGCGACACGAGTAGATGCAGATGTCACACACGAGACAGCCTGTAGGATTCAAGCAGCTATCGCGAACCAGCACCCTCAGACCCTCAGGTTAACTATCTTCTGTCCCGATCTTGTTGATCCTGCCTCGCTTTGCCACTGCACCAATTGACAGGCATACGACAAGATGTCAGCAGGCTGCCCCGTGTACAATGCCAACACGACCTTCCTGCCTCCAGGCGTCGCAAGGGTTTGGAGCGAGGGTTGCATCGCACTGCTTTCCAAGCTTCGCACTTGCATTCCGTACATCTTTACAGATTCTTTACAATGTTCGAAACTGTGGACCACAGCAGGGATCAGTATGACTGCAAATTTCGTTTTGCACGCTTTCAGGGCCTGCCGCCCCCGCTACCCCAATCCCGAGCACACTCGCCTCGTCAGACTTTGACGGAGATTTCGATGCTCTCCGAGCAGACCACAAGAAGTGCCGCGACCTGCTTCCCGGGATGAAGCAGGTGCTGCGGGTTCTTCTGGGTTGATTGAAGTAATGAAGTGTGCTGGCCATCCAGCGCTGGGTCCACATGTCCAGCTTTGCTAGTCATTTGCATCTCCGTATGCCAATCTTGATTTTTCCCATGTTGATAGGCCCATGCTGCTTTGATGGTGCATGTGCGCATGTGTGTGAGACGGTAGTGAGACGAATGAAGCATTATGAAAATATGAAATTGTCGCTGCGCATACATTGCAACATATTACGATGCAGTGCTTAACTTGACCGTTTGACCCTCCATGCTTCCGATGAAGGGTAATTCTGCGTAGAATGTCAGACGCAACCTGCCCGGCAGGAGTATGAGAGTTGCCACAAGGTCCGCGAAAGCCTGGTCGGCCAGGAGCTGTAGTATTTAGGGTAGCGCAACTATCCGAGTTGCTCATGGGCTCTGTACAAGCACCTTCCTTAGGGTCGGGGATCCCCTGGGTGGCATGCATCGAGATCACGAGACAAAAGACTTTACATGCTCAACCGGTGCAAGCCTCTGAAGCTCGACGGATAGCTTACGACGTTGCTAGCAGTGACAGCGAGCACTTCAGCTCCAAGATCGACAGTTCTGACCTTGAGCCTACGTCTTTCAGGCTCCTCCTCTGCAGCAAGACACTTGACGGGACTAGCTCATCTTACTGCAGAGGAGCAAGCCCTTTTGGACTCCTTCCGGGATGTGAACATCTTTGAGAGTCCCGATGAGCCCGGGGCCTTGCCGATATTGAACTTACACTGGCGTCTGACTCACGTGCTGTCTCTCCCGAATATCTGTACCATACATGTGTACATGATCCTGATACTGTATCTAAGTTACTAGTATGTATGATTGCACGCAAGCATGACACTTTTGTCCGGATAATGTAGGCATCGCGCAGGAATGCATGCATGTTTCTCGGGAGAGCGTGAGAGAGAGAGAGAGAGAGAGAGAGAGTAGGGGGGCAACCCTCCATTGTAACCCTGGGGAAGAAAAGAGAGAGAGAGAGAGAGAGAGAGAGACAGAGAGAGAGAGAGAGAGAGACAGCTAAGCCCGGCAGAAAGAAAGAAAGAGACAGAGACAGATAGCGGGGGAGCAATCCGTGGCCCAGAGCCCTGACGAAAGAAAGACGGATAGACGGATAGACAGACAGACAGATAGATAGACAGGAAAATAGATAGATAGATGGTTAGATAAATCCATATATATATATACACAGATTGATAGATAGATAGACAGATAGACAGATAGACAGAGTAGGTAGGTAGAGGGAAGGACAGACACACAGCTACAAAGATAGACAGATATTCAGAGACAGACACACGGACGGACAGACGCCAGCCAGCCAGCCAGCCAGGCAGGCAAAGAGGAGAGAGAAATAGAGCGAGAGAGGGAGGGAGAGATAGATAGGTAGGTAGGCAGGCAGGTAGGTAGGTGGGTAGATGGGTAGGTAGGTAGATAGATAGATAGATAGATAGATAGATAGCGTGTATGTTTACAGGCTTGCTTTTGGCATGAGCAATCTGCTTCGTGTTGAGGCGTCGAGTGTTTTGTTGCCAAGAAAACTCTGGAAGTTCGTATCCTGCCCAGTTGCACCATTAGCGGAGACGATGTGCTGGCCTACTACGAGGAGCGGATGTTGAGGGCTCTGCTGTGGGGCTTACATAGCAGGCCTAGGTCGAAGGTCCTTAATGCATTAAAGCGGAGGTACAAGCAACTAGGCTTTCGGGACACATGACGGGTAGCTTGATCCAGATCCGGACCCTGGCATCTGATCCATGCTTGGGTGAACAGCCAGGTTTGCTGTCGGTCACCTTGAGCTTGATGGTTCTGCGTTGGGCTGTGTCTGGTGAGGCCATGCGTGTGCACTTCAAGAATCGAAAAGACACTTTCTGGGAGACCTACTACAAGCTCGAGCCGCTTAGCTGGCACTGATTCGGAGCAATGCCCGGAATCGTTTTTGCTGCTGTGGCCTGCTGACGGACGCGATGCCTTTCCCGGGCAGTATGGCTGTTCAATGCGGGAGCACTCCGGATCTGGAGGGATTCGCTAGAGCAAGCACGCCTTTTCATCTCTTTCTTCAGACCTTCCAAAGTTCTCGACCTGAACGCCGCTCAAAGCCCAAGCCCAAAAGGATCCGGACGCTCTGATGCGCGCCTCCGGGCCCAAGGAATGTCACCGTCAACATCACCAAGTTCAAGTGCATCGACCTCGAGGCCCTTTCTTTGGTGTTTTGCTGTTGGCTTTGATCGTGTAACAGTGACGAAGGGGAGGATGAGAAGAGGAGCAGCAGCAGGACGATGCGGTGACTGTGGCGGTGATGCTGTGGAGGTGTTGCCGGTGTCGGTGCTGCTGCTGCAAAAGGTGGTGCAGCTGGTGCTGCGATGCTGGTACTGTTGATGTTTAGTTCAGTCATTTGTCGGCAGGAGCGGTTCACCTCATCTACAGTCTCGCAGTTGGCTGTCGGAGTAGCTTCAAGATCTGGCCGACTGGTTTCACTTGCATTTCCATCTTGGGATGTTGAAGCAGCTCCAGCCAAGCCCAAAAGAGTAGCGCATGTCTTCTTCCCTGGACTCTCTTGGAATCAAGACGTTGGCACATACTTTGTTCTCGCTTTAGACAAGTGTACAACCAAAACTGGCAAGCTGACTGCTTGAAGCAGGTTGCCTACTTCGAAAAAGTCGCAGCTTGCGAGACTGCCCAGCTGAAGCTCGAGCAGACGGCCTGTGAAACGCATGAAAGGACTCAAGAGCATGAGGTGCACTAGAGAAATCTTCGGGGTGAAGTTGTAAAGTCTTACGACTTCATGTTTCTGTTTTGTAGTTTCATTCAGGGTTTCGGCTCCGCGGCTTTGGCTCTGAAGGCTTTGGTGGAGCAATCTGTAAGCCTGCTGCGCGACGGAGGACCACGGAGGCGTGCAAACCTCTTCCGCAGTGCTGCCTGGCAGAGAGAGAGGTGGCGGTGGTTTAGAGGTCTTCAAACAGTCATACACAGGGCCTTCCCAGACAGTCCCTAATTGAGGGGCCTCAACAGTTGGAATGGGGTTTGAGGGCGCATTATCGATACGGGTGCATGCAGAGCTTCCGAGAGGAGTCGAATCCGCTTGCGATAGCCTCGTGCAGACTTCCGAGACATTGCTACATGCCTTAGTAGAGCAGATCACCTGATGTTTCCTATACCAGAAGCCTCAAAGTGTCCTTGCAACTTTGACTCTTTTATCCGAGGCCTTGTAGAATCCGAAGCTCTGAATGCCCAGGCTATAACGGCAACTGGAACCAGTACGTGGAGGAGATGCACAGCACGAACGACACCATCCAGGTCCGGGTGGGGCCTAGTCGGGCGACGGCTCATTTTCTAGCTTTTAGGGTTTACGTGCTGGGTTTCGGTCATCTTCACAGTGAGTCTGCGCAGGCCGTGATATCCTGCATGTCTGTTTCGCAGGCCCTGGGACCTAGAATCTCGCCAGACCCGACGGCTCCCCACTTCGAGCAATACATTCTGCTCTACCATTTCACCAGATCTTCCGGGCACTATCTTTAGATGTCGACTTCGCATGGGCCAAGACTAGCACACCGCCATTGTAGACGCACGGTGTCAGTGAGCGACCCACAGTTGACGCAAAGTTGTGGCCTCTCAGGACCTGAAGTACGAGTACCGTGCCGTTAAGCGTCGCTCGGCTTGTGCTGGTGCTGTTGGTGGAGCCTGAACTGAGAACGAGACTCGAGGGCACTAAGCCGAATACCGAGATGAGCCAGCTGGCTCGCGGACATTCCGTATATAAACGGGCGAGAGCATTTCTGCATTGCAAGCTCCTGAGATTCTCTTTCACATGCACAGTTTGTCAGAGGCTGTGTAACTTGAGCAGGAGAGCGAGTAGCTAGAACTAATTACAGGTTGACTTCTTCCATGTCTAGTTCCAAGCGAGTTGGGAGTTTTACGTGCTTTTGTGTGTGTGTCAGGGTTTCAGATTCGACTTTAACCATCATGATCCTGAGGCTTCAGGCTCGTTTACCATCACGTTGTTCAGTTGGGACCTGTCTTTAGCTTTCGATCTTCAGGCTTGGGGCTTCGCAGCTTTTCGCTCTTTTCAGTCTTTGAGCCTGCGTGGCCGACTGTGCAGGGGTCCGCTTTGCTTCAGGGAGGGTCGTGCCACAGGTCGAGCCGCCGTAGCTTGAAGCCGACTTCGTGTGAAACTAAGGCTCATGGGTTTCAGGAACACTCAAAGGTTTCGTTTGTAAATATAGGGATCGGCGGAAGATCAGTAATGCCGAGCAGTGGTCTGCTGGTCCAAGCCACAAGGCATCGAATGCTTGATGGACGCCTTCGCTGCAGATGACATGGACAAAAAGATCGATGAGTGCATCGAAAAGAGGCCGATGGGGATTTGATGGTGAAACCCATGAACGGTTACCACAGGAACTCACGTACTGCTTCCACTGTGGAATGATAGCCGGTCTAGTTGTAAAAGAGATTCTTCAGGTACGGAGGATCACCGTCTGTTGAGTACTGCTGTGCTGCACCTGCATGCCATGTCCTGGGTTCCCCTGTCTTTGTCTTGACATCGCCTCAAGATGATGGGGCTCCAGCATATTTCAATTCGGAGCCAGCGCCTTCCTTCGTCGACAACATCACTGGTCAGTCAAACTCATCCTCTGTTGAGTGCCTCAACGGACCGAGTTTGCAGCAACTCTGTCAGCTCGGATCATGTGGCAGGCACAGCACCGATTTGGTGAACAGCACCTGCAACTTGTCATCCTACCTGGACGCCTGATGGAGTTGTAAAGCTTGAGCCCTGAAGCCTGCGAGCCAGTGATGTTTCGATTCGTCACCATTCCCCTAAACCCTAAACCCTAAGCCCTAAACCCTAACCCCTAAAGGTAAAGCACCTGTTCGCAGCCCCGCCTGGTTCAATCTGTGGCAGTTCCAGGTCCAGTGTTGCCGACCTCAGGTCCTAGAGAACTACTGCAACCGAATATATTGGATTATGTATATCACGGTCGGTTATTGAATTTATGGTATATTGTAATATGTTATAGTATACTGTCGTTTCTTATGGTATATTCTACTTTCGTGTATTATAACGAATTTTCGTATATTACAATAATACAAGCTCCGCTATAGTACATCTCCCACATAACTATTCTTTCGTGCTCATGGCAAAAGGTGTGGACAACCACGAGAACGTGCAGAGGCCGAGTTACACAATGCCGGACGTTTGCAACACAGGACGTTAATGGTATGGGGGTTTAGGCTTCCATACAATTCACGATAGTGACCGGAAATCATGGTAGTTCAGCTCTGAGAACCTTGTGAACATCTGCTTGGTTTTTTGTCGAGTAATTTCCATCTGCCCTGCAAGAGCCCGCTTTGCCGATTCCAAAGCTACTAGAGTCGAGGATGGATGCAGCAAGCTACCTTTCTTCAGCTTCTGAGGCCGTCCCCACTTCGCCTGAGCTTAGCCCATGAAGCGAGAGGGGATGGTACTGGTAGTACAAGAAGTATTCGGGTGTTTGATACTCATCATTCAGTCCTTCTGGAACACATGGCCTTGGGCAAGGAGTCAAAGCCATCCTCGACCCCAACGCCAGCAACTTCGATGCCACGGAGTACACTTCCCAAGGCCGCAGCTTTTGGCTCCGGGCGCGAGGGATGGTCTCAACTCTTTTCCTGTGTTGGATGAACTGGTCTTCCGGGAGAGGGAACCAAAGAACCCGTCAAACATTATCATTGTGTCACGTTGTCAGATGGGTAACTAGTTACGGCGGCCTCGAAGGCAGGACACTGACACGACGCGACAAGCCTGCCGCGGAGCTGAGCCGACTCGCGAGGGAACACGCCTTTCGAACTCGAAACCTCTACGGTCGGATTCAGAAATGATTCATCAGGTATTCAAAGGCCAAAGGTCGGCCAGTGTCGGTGGTTTCTTGTGTCCAGAGCTTCTAGACGACAATTTCGACGACACGATTCCACATGGCAGGCAGTGCTTCGAGACCGTTGATTCAGTGCATAAGTCAAGACTTTCGGATTTGTCTGTTGCTGGTCAAACTGTGCATGCATAAGACAAAGTTCACGACCACAGGGAGCCATGAGCCCCTTTCCGCTCGAGTGCATCAACAGTTGGAAGCCCGCCACTCGCTTGCCTCCGTAATGCCCTCCGTCCTGCTGCCTCACTCTGAAGTAGCGGGTGCAGCACCACCCCTGCAGGCATCACTGCATCCCGATGCATGGCTTCCTGCTGCACTGTGGATTGGTACAGCTGGACCACCTACGGAGCCTCGGGCGCAGCTCAGGGCTGGACTTGAAGGTTCTAATCATCGAAAAGACAAATTCTAGTCCTGCTGACTCTAGCCATGACAATCGCAGATTTTGTGATGGCAGGGTTAACAGCAAAAACTGGATCGAAGGCAATGCCTATGTGGCCAAAGAACACTACCTCATCGATGAGGTCGTGCATCATAGCTTGCATCTTGTGCACAGAGGGAGACGGAGCTACAGGACTTCTTGCAGGGATGATCCGTAGGATGCGGGGAATCAGAGCAGCATCCTAATCCCCACCATGAAGAGCCACTTCCCGCAATATATACTGGAAAGCACCATGTTGGAGCACCCGATGCTCCTCTAAAGTTACAGTGGCTCGGCCTGGAGGCTACGGGCCAGCCAGCCAGCTTCGCAACAATGGAGGACACCGCATGTTTAGGGGGGGCAGGTGTTGGAGAATGGTTGGCTCGGAAAGCCTCAGAATTTTTGGCCGTGGAGGCCAGCATTGAGTGGCCTGCATGAGTTGGCCAGTCGTGTATGTAGATGTTCGTGGACGGATGTGCATTTGCATAGCCGGCTCCGTGCTGGGACTTACTCTTACCGACTGTGCTCCGCATTCTGAGTAAGGCACTGAAACTGTGAGAAAATCTGTCAAGGCCCTTGTGTGCAGCAGGCGTATTACGAAAGCATACGAAGTACTCGCAGATTAAGTGCTGCAGGCATTCCGTGTAGCAATTCGGAGTTAGCGATGCTGAAGGACGCCAAGGCTGCCTGCGAAACGATGGGCTCGGTCCATTGCGTCCTGGCTGTAATCAGTCGGGTTGCTGCTGTTCTTCCCGTCTTTCATATTTTCCAGTCGTCGTTGCCGCAGCCGCCAGCCATCACGAGGACGAAGTAGGACTCACTAGTAGTAGTAGTAGTAGTA